CGAAATCCGGCGCCGGCCCCCCCCCCCCCCCAGCCATACACGCAGCCCCAAGACGTAGCTCACAAGTCGACGGCAGAGCCAGAGTTTCCACGCCTGCACTGGTGTCCCATTATTCCAGTAGATCCTACCAGTAAGGATGAAATGCAGCAGGCTGCACCCAGCCCAGAGGCTGCCAACTAAATTACACCACAGAAGACTGAGATACACAATTTTACAACTACAACGCAGAAAAAAAGCACAGATTTCAAATTTCTCAAATTTCTATGTAAGCGAACATTGACGAGAGATGAACTGTGAAGCCTGTGTTGTCTCAAACAAAATGCAAGTCTTAAAGAATGAGCTTGCTTATTTATTCCATAGTATTTCCTAAAACATATTACATGCTTTTCAGAGACCACATTCACTACCAGTGACCAAACTGAAATGCTAATTAAAGTTGTAATAGGTTTCTAAATCCAGTTTTTGATAAATATAGCCTACTTAAGGGACTCCTTTTGAGACTACTCAGACTCTAGTAAGCTATTAGTAGGCCATCTCATCAGCTGACCCTCATACATGAAATGCCACTCTCTATTTTGTTCTTGAGCATGTATTTTTATAGCCTATATACTTAACCCAGGGAAGCTGCTGTAAGCAGACACCAGGCAGAATGCCTGCCTTAGGGACTCTATTTGTTGTTGTTTAAATCAGATTTGCACCCCCTCAGCGGTCAGGATCACTGAATAAAGCAGCTCACCTTCACCGGACAAGTTCTCAATGGACTCTGCATCCACAGACCCGCTTGGAGCTTGTGGCAATGGAGCTGCAGTGTGCAGCAACCACATTCCCAGCTGTTCTCTCCCTGATCCAATCCCGGCTGACAGGGAATGACTTCTGCTCCCTCCCAAGCTGGAGAGGGACTGCTGTCCCGTGAATGACCTCTGCAGTGTGCCAGGCAGTCCCAGCAGGGATGAGGGATGAAAGCAACACTGCTGGTGAGCAGAGCTGCTCAGTGACACTGGCTGCACGCCACAGCTGGCTACAAAACACCTCCTTCCTCTGTCATGCCCTGAGTGGGGAGAAGGGGAAGGCTGAGCAAGGACATTAGAACAATATTCAACCAGCAAAGAGGCAGCAGATTCAGGATGACCAAAAGATATGCAGAAAAACAGCCCTCAAACTGTATTATTATTACCACCACCAAATAATACTTCAGAAATGAACAATATTTATGTGACCTCATAAAGAAGGACAGTGCATTTCACAGCTTCATTAGCAGCCATCCCACAAGTGGCAATACAGAAACCAGTTTTCACTACTAGCTTGAGAGATTAGAATTTGTGTGTTGGAAAAATTGGAACGTATAGATAACTGGCATCTCGGAGGATCTGCAAAGCAGATACATCGAAATACAAGATATATCAGTGGAAATTAGTGTTGTGGATATAATTTCCACAAATCCATAAACTATTGAGCTGAAAGAGTTCCAACAACTTTCCTATCGTTAAAGGCATCTTGATGCCCATTCTTTTATACCCAGAAAATCTTTATTAGTAAACTCTAAAAGTCAGTCTAGACCATATTTCATCTCTAAGTCTCCTGAAATCAGGATTTTACAAGGATTTGTTTTCTTAAATTCACATGGCAGTAACACAAATTATTTTGCTAATGTATGCTATTTAGCAGGTTTTGAAGCACTACATTTTATGTGAACAGTGGCTAACTAGTACAGGCTAAAAATATCAGTATAGGAATGTAAGCCATAACTCTCCTATTGCTTTGACAGCCCTTGGAGAAAACCACCCTTTCCCACATTTGGTCTTGCAAATATTCCACAGAGTTTCCAAGCAATTTTACCACCCTCCTGAAGTTAGCGTAAGCAGACATTGAAGCATTTTCTGCTAGTGAACACAAGCTTTCTTTGGACCTCCTCTTGTGTTTAACCTCCCACATTCTCTCCTCCTAATTTGAGATCAGCTATGTCAGCATAAGCATGCCTGCTCCTTCAAAAAAACAAAAGTGATGAAAGTGTGCGTCCTTCCCATCAACACTGATCCCACTAATAGGATTCCATTCCTGAAACCTTATAGCGTGCTCCATCAGCTCACGCTGAAGGGATAATCTTTTCACCTGCTGGAGGCAGCAGTCAACTCTTGAAAAACAGGGAACAAAAATGAAGAACACATGCATTGTCTCCATTTGCTTGCACAGAGCAGTCACACTCAGCTTTTGGAATGACAAACTGAAGAGAGGTTTAACATGCCAAAATAAAGACTTTTCAGAGAGTCTCCTCTCTCACACCATTTAAAAATCAGGCCTATTTTAGGTCTTGGTAGCTGTTGTGCCTAAGCATCTCATCTGCACTGAACTAATTCTATGCAAGTATTCATGAGCATGTTTAACAAGTTTTAACAAATACAGCAGGCATCTTGCCAGTCACAGCTGAAGAGCAATGAAATCTAAACACAGACATTTAGGAAAAAGTTATTTGTTATTTCAGAAGAAAGTGGGAGGAGATATTTGTGTTATTTTACAATATTTCTGTGACACCATAACGATTAACAAGGAAAGATCCAACCTTAGTCAGACAGAAGGAAAACACATGGAGCATAAGTATCATTACAGGTGCACATTGTAATAAATTATGATTTGCTGCTTGGCAAAAAATTGGCATTTTAGCATTTAGCATAGATCTTAAGCTTTTTCCCAGTACAGTACTTGAAGGTTTCAGTTGTTTTGGGTTTTGTTGTTTGTTTGTTTTTAAATAACCTACTTTCATTCTGGATCTTTTTATTTCTTTAGAGGTGCACTCTATTTCACTCTAAATTATTTCATGCCTCAAGGCAATACTAAGAATTTAAATAACAAAAAAAGAACCAGTGATCAAACTGAATCACATTCTCAGTATTTTAGACTTACTATGTTCATATTTTAAAACAAAAAGTGGTATTTTTACACTACCTTTACTGCACGTATCTTTAAAAAGATAAAACGAACAAGCAAGATATGCATGGCTGTTTTTCCAAACCTTTTTGAGACAGCATTTGAAAACATAGTTTTTAGAAATATCTTTGATTTTTAAAGCAAGAAGTTCACAAACAAGCACAGAAAAGGTAGCAGTTAGATGTAAAAGTTAAATGCAGGCTGTACCTACTCCCTGGACAGCCAGAGATCTCTATACTGCTTTCTGTTATCTACTTACAACGTCAGGTTTTCAGTCCTGTTACTATGAAGACATAATTTTCATTTAATACCAAGAAGAAATTAATCCTGATCATCTTAATACTGTAATTTAACTTGGAAAAACACATCTTTCTTTCCACATTGTGTTTTGGTTTAAATGACTGTCAGGCAGGATACACATTGCCAGAAGTCATACTCCTCCTGGTGGGCCACAAGTTGCTTAGAATCTTACTGATATACTTGTCTTTTTGTCTTCCTAGACCTAGAACCCTCTGAAATTCAACTGAAGATCATGAGTTTTGTAGGAATGTAACTTGGCAACACCCACAGGTTACTTCGTGATTTAATGGAAATGACACAACAAAGCCAAGAGTATGCTAAACAGCCATCTGCAAGCTTATGCTTAGTGTATTAATTTAATAATTCAACCAACAAGTTGCAAACAAGTTAATTGTGTCAAGATAACTTTTATCTGCAGTAAGAATCTTTCATGCCTTACTTCATATGTGGTGTTACCTCAAGTTGATTGGAGAAAAACAGCAGAAAAGACAGAAATCCTTTATACAGTTTGTTTACCAACAAGAAAGCACAACAGAGACAGAAAAGAAACAGTGGTCATCTTTACCAAAAGCCTCCATAGAAAACTGCATGGTACCTGCTGAATTACAGTAAACTGAACCCCATTATGCAAGAAATAACTACGAACCATCTTAAACAAACAAACATAGTGTGAAGAGGACTAGAGGGCCACAACCCTTCAACTGTGTCCAGCTTTTCAAGACATTTGCAGAAATTATCTTTTAGTTTAGGAATGGAAAATCTTCAGTACAATCACACTGTTCAAATATCAAGGACAAAAGCAGTTAATGCAAGCAGAAAGTTACCTTTACAGCTGCTGTCACTGCAGCAGTTGCTGCCAAATTCAACCCTTGCCTTCCAAAATTCACCATGGTCTCATAGCCTTTTTCTTTGGCTTGTACGATGTAGTCATCAATCTCCTAAAAGCAAAATATAATTACATTTTAGAGGGCTGTACATAAGAGAGTCACATTACCCTACAGTACGGTTTTCCCATCGATAAAGGAAGACAGAAGAAATCTGTAAGAAAATATTTAATAGAACAATTACTCTTGACTTTGTATACCGATGTTTCATTCGCTTATACTCTCTCTTTTTCAAAAAGGATCATATCTGGTCAAACAAGATAAAATAGATCACTCTGTCCCAGTCAAACATTGCAGCTACATACCAAGTTCCTGACAATAAGCTTAACTTCCCAGACAAAAACTGTTCAAGAAACAACATGCTTAAGAAGAAACCAGAGAGCTCCTTATAAAGGTAAGAGTCAGCTCACAAAGAACTTCTTTCTGAAGCCAGAGCTTTGACCTAATTAAGTACCAAGGACAACACAGTCATGACATTTATCCCAGCTGTTGTAAATGTCTGGAGTTGAAGATAAAGGCTTCAAGGTAGTTCACAACAGCTAGCAGACTATAAGGAAAAATCCCTTTAGCGTATGAAGTTGCAAATGGTTTGTAGTTCAACCCTCAGAAGGTCAAGATAACCTCACTGTTCGTATCAGTGGCAATCATGTCAGCTACCTGCTCTGCCTAATAAAGGCTAAGTCCAGCACTGACCTTTACAAATGCTATTTTCTGTACTGTGAGGTTCTTCAGTGGTACTCTGCACATGTTTGCTAATGTTTCCACACATCCAAACAGAATACTGAAAAAGAACTAAGCAGATCTGTTGCCCTGTCATACTTCAGCTAAAGGTAAACATCCTTTAGCTATTTTCTGTTTGGGTATTTTCTATTGCAGACTGGTCTTCCCTTAAAGCTTCAGTAGAAAGTCTCCCCTCTTATCCTTCCAGTTGCACACCGGAAAAGTCAATGTCACTGAGAAGTTTTATTACTAGGTTATGCTGGGGGGGGGGAACAAAACAAAAAACCACCACCAAACAGTAACATGAGGAGCTGTTGCTAAAACTGCATTCACAGTTTTGTACAGAGTACTGCACATGTTCTTCCAGCAGAAAATCAAACTGTATCACTTCCACTCAACTGGGCTCCCCAGAGTGCACCAAGCAGACTGGAAGTTAAACCGAAGTATGTATGTGGCAGTCATACGGACTTGCCTCTGCTAGTCCAAGGTCATGCTACCTGGCAGTAATACAATGATCTGCTTTTACCACATAGCTAGCAACAGTTAGTATTTCAGCACATTTTATTTCCACACTAGGCATTAAAAATATGAGAAGTTATTTCTTACCCTTTCTTTAGAAGAAAGAAGCGGGTGAAGAAATTTTCTGTAGATTAAACTTGCCCCTCTCGTATAAGGGGAAAGAAGCCAAATAACAAAAGCTATCTTCAGTTCATAGTACAGTGGAAACCTACAGACAAGTTAAAGGTTGCATGAAATTAAAAACTGCAATGAGAAAATGCACAGGAATTAATCATCATTAAGAGATCTTCAAAAAACCCCACAATTACATAGTAGCATATAGGATTCTTTACATACAGTAAGTTATATTAGGCAAAAGTTAAACAAGTTTTAGACCTATGGATATAATTTTTTAATTGATCGTACTGTCATTTAAGAAATAGAAACATTTAATATAACTTGCTTTGCATTAAACATTCCTGCACAGAGAAATTACAGTCCATCCTTTCAAGACTTCCATTCCCCTATTCGGTTCCTACAGCAAAAGTAGATTTATGCTTCTAATGACAGTGTACACAGCAAGTTTGAAAACAGATGTTATTCTTCCCATACACTCTGAGGTATTTTCCTGAAAAAAGGTTTACCAACAAGCACAACATTTTTCAAAAATTAAATCATTACAAATGAAAGAACATCAGAAACAAATATCGTTTCATACAGATTGCATAAAAAGCAGGTTCTTACCAAGAGACTGTTAGGTCAGTTATTGTTTCAGTAACTGTATAAAGAGCAAACACAATCCAATACATCATCCAGCGAACCTGAAAATTAAAACATCTTCAGTATGCATTTTGATTTCACCTTTCACAGAATACACTATACACTGTACAGTCAGTTCCGTGCTGTCAAAGCAAGACGAGCAGGATCTCAGTCTGCATCAACTGGGGTTCCAGTGAAATTGTATGAAGGTCCTAAGGGTTTTCTGTTTGTAAGTAGAACTGGTGGCAGCTGCAACAAGCTAAGGGAAATGGCTGGGTCACCAGGGTCAAAACCTCACCTAGGCTGGCTGCACATGTGATTCTGCCTCTAGAAAGCTCTAGTGACAAGTAACAAAACACTGCAAAGAGTCAGTAGATTATCATAACTATGAAATTCAATTCCCATTATAACACTAAAGAATATTCTATTCTCTCCCACACTCATCCATATGTTTATACCACAAACACAAAAGTCAGCTTTAATAAGTCAGGCTGCTCTTGCTTTCATTTCACAGTATACATTATCCAGCTATACTTTGCAGTTAAGTTCTACATGTGTGCTTAGCATTATGGCATTAACACCAAGGCAAAGAATGAAAAAAACATTTGAATGGAAATTTAATTCCAAGAACCACAAAATTCTTGTTAATAAGTGAGCTCACATGTAGGCATCTTAATGCTTCAGGAGTTTATGTCTATGTACTTACTTTGGTTTAAGATTTACACTATCTATCATTGTTTGGAAATGAGACAACGCTTCTAAAATACAGGTTTTAGTTCTGTTTTCTGTTACCTAAATAGCTCATTTTTCTTGAGCATGTGTTCCAATTTGGTTGTCTAAACTGATTACATATTTCAAAATAAATATTATAGAAGTAGTTCCATGCATCTGTGTTGTCTAAAGTATCAGTGGCCAAATGCAAAACAGGTCTGTGCAAACCACCACTGGTTATTCGTAATAACTGAACACCCACATGTTCTTTAAATTCCAACATTATCTACGCTAGGGGGAAAAAAAAAGGCAAAAAACCCCTCAAACAAGCCAGTTTAAAAAAAAAAAGAGAAGAAAAGAGAAGAAAAGCAACCAGATGCAGTAGCCCCATTTCATCTGCAATATACAGACTACTAACTCTTCTGCTATACCCACAATGTATTCACCACCACATCTGTCAGACACTAGTTCTAGTCCTGAATTCATGGCACCCTCTTTCAAAAGGGCGAATACATACACTTTCCTACAGAGGACTTGGATCAGATTATATCTTCACTTTTAAAGCAATCTTTGTTTGAAGTGGACTTAAGTACATACAAAAAACTTATATATATAAGTATATATATGTATAATGCTTAAATGTATAATGCTACACTGCTGCCTTCTTCATAGCTGTGCATTATGCTTTAAAACCACTTCCTTTGTCACATCTTGAGACCCATTTACCTTAAAAGCTTTTCTGCATTTCAATTTGAAAAGAAACTCAGTCATGTGATGACATTCTTCACTTCAGCCTCTCAAAGGATTTAGATATTTCAGGCTTGAACAAACTAAGACGAACCTACACAACAGCTGAAGTCACCTCTGCAGGCCATGTGACACATGAACTGGTGACCCTGCCACGAACCAGAGTCAACACCTGAATAAAAACAACATTAACATCCACCCCTTGCCCCATCAACCTAAGCATGATGCAGTGCAATGCAATTTTTAAGATGCCATGCAAGAGTGATTTTTTTTTCCCCAATATATTATATCCAGGCTCTTCATTCTTTAATCAACATCTATTTATCCAATTAGGAACAACAGTAGATGTGGAGTTTCTCTTGGGCTGCTGGGAACAATAAGAAATGCTCTGCAGAAGGGCACATGAGATCTGCCAGGAGTCCTGCTGAGATCTGGGCAAAGATTCTCAAAACCACAAGTCACATCATATTCTAGTACAACTAACACGTTAGGTACCAAAAGTATCCTTGATTAATGAACCTGAGTGATTTACAGTGACTTTCATACCAGAAAACAACCCAAGAAAAACGGGTCATATTTGACACTGCCCAGAAGACTCTCATCTACTTAACTCTTTAAGATGAAGTTGCAGAAGCTTTGATTGAGTTTTACTTTTTATGTTGAAAGGGTGATTACAGATTTGTTTTGTTGTGGTTTTTCTTCCTACCATTCAAGTGTAAACACCATCTTTGTTGCCTTTGGCAGGAGCACATCCTCTCAAGTCACTGTACTGCAGCCAGGATTGGAGAAGACTGGTCATTCAGACTTCTAAACTACGTTTTAAATGCTTATTACAAGCACTTTGGTGTAAAACAGTGAAAAAATTAAATATCTTAGTCGACTCCATTAAATCAGGGTAATTACAAGAACAAAGAAGTCTCCTCAAATGCACAGATTCCGATTTCTAGAACTGAAGTCCATAAGTCTTTTAAACTACCAAGATCTGCAGCAACATTTCCCTCCCTGCCTACCCGCCCCAGTTAAAAATGTCACTGTTACAAAACTCTTGCAATCCAGCAAACAAAAACAGGTGGCTCCTGAGCCACACGTAATCCTGGAAAGGAAGTTGTGCTCTGGCCATAACCTGAGTGGCAGCAGAGCTGTGTCACTTGGACGGTTGCAGTTAAACCTACACCCTCATGGTGAAAGCAAATGACACAGCTGGGAAGATGAAAGCCATGGATGGACCCCAAGATCTCTCCGGACACTCAAACCAAGCAACAATGGAGTGGTAATTTGCTGATGAATCCATGCCATTCATCTCAGCCCCATGAGCACTGCATGTGCAACTGCAAGTTCAGGGACTGCTCAAAGACCACAGGTGACTGAAAAGCAGTGTTTTCACATTAAGATAAAATACATAGTTGAGAAAAATATGGTTCTAGGCCCTACGAAGGGTCATGGGTAAATGACAGGTATCTGTAAAAAAAAGGATGCCCAAGAAAGACAGCTAGTCATAGCTACATGGACAATTGAGATAAGAGACAAAATCACAGCATTCTGCAAACATTACTTCTATCTTTCTAGAAAACATACTGCAAGAGGCAATGGTAGACTCTTAAATTAAAGCGATTTATCATATTGGAGTTTGAAACTTCTATCCTCTACTTAGCCCATGGATCCCTTTTGAGGGAACAGGAAGGAAAAGCAGATTATAAATTCTCTGCATTATATACTTTCCCGACACGGTAAAGTAAGCATGAGACAGAATAAATTTGTCTCTTATTTTTACTGGTTTTTCCTCTCAGAAGCTTAGCTCTGGCAGGCACCAACTCTATCTGCACAAATAAGCTCTAATCAGCTTGTACACCGAAACCAGAAGTAGTATGAATATGTTGTCCACTTCGGAGCCTTGATCAGACTAAATGTAAGACATGCAAAGGGAGGAACAACAGCTACTGCGTTCTGCTACTACAACCCAAGCATAAAGTGGAGACATAACACATCCAGGCAGCAGCATTAGGCCACAGCTACGGCTGGCGAGCTAAATTAACCGATGTCACCAACTCCATCCTGAGTCAGGCAGCCAAGCTAAGGAAAAGTTGCAGCAGAGAATATAGGTTAGTTGCCAGGATCAAGTTAGACTGCCTCCTAAAACAGGGAAGTAACTCAGTGACCAAAGCTCCTTGTGACTGTGACTGGGTCCCATTCTTGAGTTCATCATCATAGCTCACACTGGAGAGTAAATAATTTAACAGACTAATTCTAAACTGCTTTAACTACAGTAATTGTGTTTTTCGCCATCTTACTTTTCTGTCTGTTCTGCTCTTTTTCTCTATATCACCTCAACCACATCTTTTCCTTTCCTGGTTACAATTTTTCTCATCTTTGAAGAACAACAGATTAACCAGAGCTTCCTTTTTCTCAGGTAGATGTTCAATCTCCTGTTGAGCTTCATACAATGACAATTAAACTGCTGCTACTGTTCCAGGGGTCACTGAGAATCAATTTGTCATTGCTTATACTACAGGTGCTGGCAGAATGAGGAAACCTTTTTTTCTACCTGCTGTCCAGAAGTGCATTATTTTGGGCACTCCACTGAAATGAAGGCAACACTTCAAGGTTTGTTTAAAACCCTCCAAAAATATCCATACAACATAGTGTGTTGGACATGTTTCAGCAATTTCTATGAAAAGTCCAAACAAAATCACAGGATTACCACTGACTGGATTCACACAGCTGTTGTATCTAACACTAAGGTAGTCCAGTCAAGCTTTCCATATGATTTATTGCACTGCATAATGAAAATTTCACAGTTGTATGTCAGCAGAGGCATTTAATTAAGCAATTAAAAGGAAAGCAACTTACATATTCTTTCACATTTTTTGTCTTCACAGCTTTGTATGAGTAATATGCAGGATACAGCATCCCAAACAACAGCCTATTGGAAGAAAAAAAGAAAAAAGCTTTCAGAATCTGTTATACCACATATGACAAAAGAGTGACAATACATCACTAAAGCAATACAGCAAACTTTTCAAAAATCCCATTCTCTAGCTTGGAAAAGAAAAATCACAATGTTATAGGTTGCCTGGAAGAAGTTTAGCAATGCACAAAACCAGCAACATGAACAGAAAATCCTGTATGCCCTGAAGACAACAAACAGTTTCACAAGACTGCCTCTAATAGATAAGGTAAAAGCAGCAGCTCTTCTAGTTCAGCTACAAGTAAAACCAGCCCTGCAGTCTGTCCATACCAAAAGAGCATTTCTGCACTGGCAGTACTATCGCACTTAAAGAGCAGAACAACTATGGGCAGGTGGTAATCAGAAAGATCTACTTTTATCAGATTACCTGAAGATTCTTGAAAAGCACTTTTAAGACAAGAGGGGTTAGGTAATTTCACCTCCTTTTGCTAGAACTCTGCAACAGCAGCACATGAAAATGGAGGCAGCTTTGCTCAGACAGTCAATTTCTGCTAAAACCCATCAGAAGTAAGTGCAGAGCAGAGTGAGAGGGTGCCAAGCAATCCATGCCGAGAACAGGATCAGAAAAAAATCTGCTCTAACACAACTTCGTTACAACACAGCATTTTCTAGTAAAAGTCTTGGCCACAGACTAGTGGAACAGTTCTTTATGACAAATTGAACAGCAGAAGTTGCCATCTCGACAAATGCAAGAGCTCCATACTTTTATTTCACAAGCTTGTTATGCTTTCTAAAGTCAAGCAATTGCCTGCCCTTAGTTCCAGCTGGCCTAAAGCAGCAGTTACAGAAAAGTCTGACTACAGCATCCCTTAGAACTTGCTCGTGATGGTTATACGGAAGAAAATTACACTTGTAGGGATATACAGAGTTCTTCTAAGAAAGTTCAGAATTCTTAAGTAATTTAACTTCTCACAGTTAGGAGAAGAAAGATGCATCATGCGAGGTTTTAAGGTTTTACAGTTGTGTCAGGTAGCTTTAAGTCAGCGGTGGTACCTACAGAGCCACTACAGATGACTGCATGATGCTGCCAAGCTTTACTTTATTGTTAGACCCAGGAAAGAATTCTAAACACTTGTACTCCAATTCACTACTTTTTTTAAAGCAACTACTCCAAGAGCCTCCATCTTCTACAAGATGTTATTTGCAAAGGCTACCACAGAACCTTCCTAGTATACAAGACAACAACATAAGATTTAATTCAATCAGTCTGACAGACATCATATTCCAAGCATCACTTTGATAAGCAGCTGAAGTCTTCTACTTGGTAGGAAGCCAGTTTAGGTTACCAAAGTAACCTCCAGCAGGTAACATTATAGTACCTAAGTGAAAAAAATATGGAATTGTTAACAGCAAAGGTGAGATACTCTCTTCAACATCAGATACCACAGAAAGAGGGTTTCTCCATCTTCAGGGCAAGACAAACACGTGGTTACCCATTGAAGGAAGCCTGCTGCAGGGGCTGGGGGACACTGGCAGAGATGTTAAGCGGTAAATGCCACGAATGAGAGGGAAGGATAAAATTATGGAAGCCTAATTGCAGAACTCTTCATTACTGAAAGGGCCTTGTGAAGTCATCTACTCCAATCTCCTGCTCAAACCAAGGCTGACATCAGACTTGGACCAGGCTACTTAAGGCTTCACAGCCAGTCAGGTCTTGGAGACCCCCTAGAAGAGAGTTTTCACATCCTCTCTGGGCAACCTGTTCCAATGCTTGAAGAGTCCCCTAGTGCTAAGTTTTAATTATAACCAGTCAGAACCAGAAGTGTATGACCATTGCCCCTCTTGACTGAGTATCACAGCAAGAGAATGGGCCTGGCTCTCGTAACCTCCCAAAAGTTAGGTCAAATTGCTAGTAAGACCCCAAAGACTTCTCTTTCCTGGCAGAATAAGCCCAGTTCATTCAGACTCTCCACACAAGTCATGTTTGTTGCTATAAAGCATATGAAATGGAAAAAGTTTGAAACTTTCACTTAACAGATTTTTGGTCTATACTTTTCCACTCACTTTACTATCAAGTAGCATCACTTCTATTTAAAAAAATTCCTATTCTTAAATTTAAACAACAATTTATCCTCTGAAAGTATCATCCTCTAAAATCTGCTAGAAACAAGAACTGGGGCAGAAGGGAATTTTGAGAACACTGCTTCAGTCGTGCCCAGCGACAGGACAAGGGGCAATGGTCAAAAACTGGAACACAGGAAGTTCAACGTAAACATAAAGAAAAACTTCTTTACTGTGAGGGTAACAGAGCCCTGGCCCAGGCTGCCCAGAGAGGCTGTGGAGTCTCCTTCTCTGGAGACATTCAAAACCCGCCTGGACGTGTGCTCCTGTGAGATCTTCAAGGTGATCCTGCTCTGGCAGGGGGGTTGGACCAGATGATCTTCAGAGGTCCCTTCCAAGCCCTGCCATTCTGTGATTCTGAAACAGTGAGAAGATCATAAAGCTAAGCTACAGATGACCTAAAGTTAAATAAGAACACTAGCACAAGACAAACACGGCAGCTAGATTTCCCCAGCTAGCATATCTTTATGGTACTCAATACTGGTCAAATTAGAAGTCAGAAAAAACCCTATTTTAGTACTTACTTTTTTTTTTTCTTTTAAAGAATTACTCTAGAAATCACTTTTAAAACCAAAGAACAAGAAACTTAATGCCACAATATAGCATTACTTTCAGTGTTTAATGCTGCTGTAACACGGATTTGTTAGAAAAACTTGTTCTCTAGAAGTCAGTAGATAGGATGAAAACGAAAAACATCAGTACATTTAGCCAGCAGTAACAGGAACCAGTACTGTGAAGTTTTTCTCTCTTTACAGCCAGAGCTGACATTTTAAGTGTGACATAATGCTGCCGCCAACTCTGGCATCACTACCTCCTTCACACAGGCAAAGCCATCTAATCTTAGTTAAAGCTACCAGGCAATTCGACAGTAGAAAAGCCAACCTGTTGCCTGCGAGTGCAGTTGAAGGTCACCACATACATGTCTATACATGGTAGATTAGTATAAAGGCAAAAGAGATCACTGCAGCTAACTGAAGCAGAAACACAAAGGACAGGAGCAGCAGGGAGCCTGGACACAATCAGTGTCACTGCCACAGCCAGCTACAATAGCCAAGCATTTTCGAGTCATTTCCCTGTTTTCATCAATATCCCCAAAAATTTCAAAGTTGTTAGCAACACCTACTGCCACACATTATAAGCACACCACTACTCTGGTATTTCTACAGTAACTGTACAATACACTTCAAGGATGCGGCCAATTATTCAAAGGCTTTTCAATTTTAAAAGCTTAAGTGTTATTTTTAAAAGTGCAGTTTATATTTCACACTGGGTATCAAGCACACTGCACTAATGTAGGGGATGAAAACAAGGCCAGTTTCCACAGATGGAAACAGATTTCAGCTGAGTGTGATGTCATTTACTTTATTTTACTAGTAGATATATGGGTAATCCTGCTTACCAATGTAATTTTACTGCCAGTTGTATCCCTAGCTATTTCAGTTTTCCAGCTGTTCCCAGCTACTAAAGTAACATTCCTTTTTTGGTACAGCCACTTCCTCTACAGACATTTTACTCATTTAAAGAGAGATGTTTCTCAAATATTCTAGGAGATTAAGATCAAAAGACAAAGTAAAAAAATAAGTATCAAAAAGCCTTAAAATCTGAATAAAAAATGTATTTGTGCATCCATACAGCCACATTAAAACATAACCTACTGCCCGTATTATCGACAGCCTCAGAGTTTAAAGCACTTTAGAGTCCACAAGTATTTGAAAAATTCATTTCTGAAGCAAAGCAACTGAGTTCCCATTTGACTGATAAGTGAAAAAATCAGTTACCTGTACACACGTTGCTCTGGCACTGAGCATATTTAACCTAGATAGTAAACAACTCTAAAGCTAATGTTTAAAAAACAAACCCACCCCAAAACATAAATGAAAGCCACCAAGCTGCTCAAAAAGACGACTTGCATCCAGACTCCCCAGACGCTGAGCCATTAAACCAACAGTGCGTTTAAGACTTCAGTCTGCTCACATTGCCAAAGAATTGCCCGAAGCAAGGAATAGTGCCTGGCACTTTCGTCTTTTGTTCCTCTGAAAGACAAGGGCCACAAGTGTTCCTGATAGTAAAAGCCGTTCAGGAACATTGTCCAGTATGAGATACTTTGGAGACAGCACCATTTGCTAAGCTCCCTTTCCTTAACAGGTCTGATAACAGAGATGACACCGATTTGTCCGCCCAGTGACAGATTGACACCTTGGCACAGACCGATAAAGCACCAGACCTTGGTTAATGAGTGCATCTGCAGTGGAAATGTGCACCTACATCCTAAAGGATCACTTGACAGCATTCGAAAGGTTGAAAGAATCCTCCCTATCTCCACAAAATCATGGAGGTGAATCTAAACACCAGATATACTAAACTTTGCTGACCATGGCCAGGTCCCCTTGCCAATTCCAGTCTTTATCTGCAAGTTATGATAAGAAGCATCTTCCATTCCTGCCATATACACACACAAGCTTTTCTAAGAGGAGGTCAGACACCACAGAAATACCAGGAGTAATGCAGATGACTCCTAGCTCTGTCTGTGGTATGGAAGTCTTAACTATACTACAGTATCTATGCAGAAACCAAATCTGGTGTTGTTAGTATTACTTTCCTTCTATATGAACTATAATTACTATCCCATGTTATGGTTAGCAGGTTTAGTTTAAGGAAGATTTCTTTTGAAGGGAACTTTGCTAATTGAAACTAAATAGCAGAATGAAATCTAGACTGAAGAACAACGCTTGAGCCTTTGGCTGGCTGGTTTTGGCTTTAAAGAGGCAGATATGGCCATACTTCGTAACAATGCGTCCACCGAGGTTTCAGTCAGCACACACTGGAAAAGCATGAACGTTTTTGCTTAGACTGTATGCTACTTATATAGTTATAAGGCACTCCCATAA